CCTCCAACACAGGAAAATTGGAAAGACTCAAGCTAAGATCAAGCAGTGCAATATTGGTACAGGGCCTCTACACTTGCTTTCATGGTCCATCCACGCCTGGCATAGACTGGCAGTGCCAAAGATGGGAGTGGATGTTCAGTTCCTAAACTGTCAGTAGCTCAAGCTCCTTAAAGTTGCAAAGACCTCCATTTAGATAGCAATTTACATAATCTCTGGACATCACAACATGTTTTACAGCCAATTAATCACTGTTTTAATGTAAGAAAAAAATGACATTTAATTTGCACACAGCAAGCTCCCTCAAGTACCAATTAAGTAAATTATTAGATGAATTGTTTTCAATATTAATCAAGAGGTAAGCATTAGGCAGACTTCCAGCAGAGTGGTGCTTTTGTTTCTTAACTTATCCCATTACCATTCCCTTTGGCTTTCTATAATGAAACATTTTAATATTATAGATCTTTCAAATTGTTCTTCTTTCCATATTCCCCCTTTTCACTTGCTCAAGATCTATTTCATTTCTAACTTTACTCAATTCTGATGAAAGCTCACAGATCATCTGTTTCTCTCTCTAAACTTGCTGCCAAAGCTATCGAATCATTCCAGCATCTTCTGTTTTAGTTTCCAATTTCCAGCAGCCACAGTATTTTGTTTCGCCTTTTACTATAGGAGATCACCCCTGCTCTTTTTCAAATAAAGCAATGGGATCTTGTAATTCACCCAAGAGGCTTTGGTTTTAATGTCTCATCTGAAAGACAGAACTCCGCATGCGTATGAAGCTATAAACATAACTTCTGTGCTCAGGTCTCTGGACTTGAATCAACAATGTTTTAGGTCAAAGGAGAGAATCCTACCTACTGATCTATACCTCAGTAATCACAACTATATCATCATTGATCATAACAAGGATTTTAAGACATATATGGGAGAATAAACATTCATGTCAAAATCATTGAGTCAGATAAAACTGATTCTCATCACATTTACAAATTATAAAGGTTGAGGAGAATTTTGTGTAGATGAGCATCTGTACAGAGATAAATGCATTGAAACATGATGATCCATGGGTACAATAATGGTCACAGCAACAGTGGTGAGCACAGCAGAGATGAATAACAGATCTGACTGAATTCATCTCAAAGTTTATTTCATGATTTGCAAAGTTTTATTTCTAAATTTAAAATATGTTATCTCAAGTAGCAAGTAGAGGTAAAAATGTCAGCTATGTAGGTAAATGGAGATAAGTTTATTCTGTCAATGATTCTATGAAGAATATGGCTGAGGTAGAAGAAAACACTTGCTTACATTTGAACAGATAGAATACAGCCATCAAATTGTTATTGACCTGGTTATTCAGGGATGCTGAAATAATCTGAGATTTATTTATATATTTATTTATTTAAGAGGGTGCAAGAAAGAGGCCTCATACAAATTTATCAAAAGACCATTGGTTAAATCTTTTCACTTTCAGGATGGTATCAACAGGAAGAAATATGTATCCTTAAACCTTATTTGCAAAGAAATAAATTGATTCAAAGTCTTTGCGGTCAGGTTTTCAGCTTCTAAAAGAAACAGCACATTCTGAAGAATATGAGGAAATCTGACACTGGGAACGGTTCCATTGACTCTAATATTGTTGCTGAATTTCTGTAGTTTGCAAACAGACTGAAAGGATTGAACAGACAATGAGTTAAGTTTAATTGAATATGATTGATACACAGATTCAGATTACAAAACTTGCACCCAGAAGCTAACAATTACACATACTAGTTTAAAAATAAATACAAATTTATATCTAGATTTGCTCAGACCTAGTCTGGGGTATTGTGCTCAATTTGGACGGCCATACCTCACAAAAGATATATTAACCTTAGAGGAGACACAGTGTAGATTTACCAGAATGATAATGGAATTTGGAGGATTAATTCTTTTGGACACTTTTAATAAATTTGGGTTCAGCATAGAAGATTGATTGGTAATCTGATTCATAGTGTTTAAAATATTAGAAGGATTTAATAGGATAGTTCCAAATAAATTGTTTCCTTTGGAGGGGAAACCCGGATGACATAACCCTGAAATTAGAATTGGTCCAATCAGAGCCATAAACAGGAGGCATTTTTCACAGAGAGTAGAAATATTTGGAAACGTACTGTCACTTTTGTACCTCATTGATGCTTAACCAAGTGTTTTTTTTAATCAATTAAGGTACATTAAGTGTTGTAGAAGACTGAAAGGGTTAATGCAGACGTTTTGGAGTAGCTCCACCCACTGATATATAAATGACTGTCTCTGGGTGGGAACTCATCAGTTTTAGATTATTGTCAGTTGTTAGAAAGTTCTACAGGCCACAATCATGTAGCATTAATGCAGCTATTACCTCTTAGGAGATGACAATGTTTCTTACTGAATGTTAATGTAGTTCTGAAGAAGTTATATAGAACTCAAAACTTTAACTCTGTTTCTCTGTCCAGAGATACTTCCAGACCTATAGAGTTTTAATTTCAGATTTCCACTTTCTGTTTTAATTTCAGATTTTCAGCATCCGCAGTATTTTGATTATATTTTGAGTTTGCGTAAGCTGTTATCTTGCTATGATGTAATGAACTACATCTTAGTACTCAATTGCATACCTCTTCTTCCAAAGACTTATTAGTGGCTAATCCTTCACCACTTAACACTGGAAAGTCCCGTAAGCCAGTGTTACAAGGTGGTAGCAAATCTATCCAAAAAGGATCCTAGCATAAAACAGGTGGCAGCTGCAGGTATCTCTTGCATCATTAAGCACAGTATATTAGTGGTACTTTGCATCAGTTTTCATAGTGGAAGACCCAGTACACATACCAGAACTTCAAGAAAATCAGGGGACAGAGATAAGCTTGGTAGCCATCACTAAGCAGAAGGTACTAGGAAACAGAAAGGGCCGAAGATAGATAAATCACTTGGACCAACTGGATTACACTCTGGACTTCTGATAGTGAGAAAATTGTAGAGGCAGTAGTGGTGATCTTTCAAGAATCATTAGAATCAGAGAGGGTCCCAGAGGACTGGAAAATGACTAATATAACACCTGTGTTTCAGAAGGGAGGGAGGCAGAAGACAGGAAACTGTAGGTGGTTAGCCTGACCTCAGTCATTGGTAAAATTTTAGGACTATTATTGAGAATGAGATTGATGAGTACATGGAAGTCCATGGTGAAATAGGGCTGATTCAGCATGGCTTTGTCAAGGGGAAGTCATGTCTGACAAATCTGTTAGAATTCTTTGAGGAGGTAATGAGCAAGTTAGACAAAAGAGAGCCAGTAGGCATAATCCATTTGGATTTCCAGAAGGTCTTTGACATGGTGCCAGACAGGAGGTTGCTGAATAAAGGGCAAGGTGCTGGCATGGATAAAGAATTGGCTGACTGGCAGAAGACAGACAGTGGGGATGAACGAGTATTTTCCAGAATGGCAGCCTGTAGCTCATAGAGTTCCACAGGAGTCAGTGTTGAGACCACAACTATTCATGTTATACATTAACAATCTGGAAGAAGGAACTGGGGGCATTGTTGCTAAGTTTGAAGATGACACAAAGATAGGTGGAAGGACAGGTAGTGTTGGGGAAGCAGGGAGGCAGCAGATGTATACGCTAAGCATGTGGGAAAGTGTGAGATTATGCACTGGTAGGAAGAATAGAGGCATAGACTATTTTCTAAATGCAGAAAGGCTTTGGAAATCTGAAGCACAAAGGGAGTTAAGGAATCCTCGTTCCGGATTCTCTTAAAGTTAACATGCAGGTTCAGTTGGTGGTTAGGAAGGCAAATACAATGTTGGCATTCATTTCAAGAAGTCAAGAATATAAGAAAAGGGATATGCTGCTGAGGCTGTATAAGTCTGTGATCAGACCGCATTTGGAATATTGCGAGTAACTTTGGGCCCCGTATCCAAGAAAAGATATGCTGGCATTGGAGAGGGTCCAGAGGAGATTTACAAGGATGATCCCGGGGATTAAGGGCTTGTCATATGAAGAACAATTGAGGACTCTGGGTCTGTACTTGATGGAGTTTAGAAGGATGAGGGGGTATCTGATTGAGACTTACAGAATGCTGAGAGGCCTGGATGAAGTGGACACGGAGAAGATGTTTCCATGAATAGGAGAGACTAGACTTGAGGACAAAATCTCAGGGTGAAGGGGGTGACTCTTTAGAACAAAGATGAGGCGGAATTTCTTCAGCCAGAGGGTAGTTAATCTGTGGAACTCACTGCAGCAGAGGGCTGCAGAGGCCAAGTCATTGACTGTATTCAAGACAGAGATAGGTAGTTTCTTCATTCATAAGGGGATCGGGGCTATGACAGAAGGCAGGAGGAAGGGGTTAAGAAACATATCAGCCAAGATCAAATGTTGGATCAGACGTGATGGGCCGAATGGCCTAATTCTGCTCCTACATCTTATGGTCTATGGTCTATGGTCTAGTTATTGGTCATAGGCTTCACATCTACAGGAGAGTGACTGTATCAGACTTACTTCATTTCCCAGTCCCCCAACATCTACCCCACCCCAGTGCTGAAATCCTTAATGACACCTTAGGTACCTCAAAGTTAATCTTTTCCATGCTCTCCTTGCCATTCTTGTACTCTATTTTCAATACACAGACTCTAACTCATCCATAATTTTCGCTCTTAATTTCTCACCTATGTTATGAATTCATCATTTATTATGTCTCTATGCACTACTCTGAGTGGTTCCCCATTCCTCAGTGAATCAATTTAAAAATTTAACCTTTCTTTGCGTGTCATTTATGGTCTCATCCTATGCTAAGTCTGCACACCTTGTTAAATGCTACAACTTTATTTGTCCTTAAGAGCCAGGCCTATTGAGCTCCCAAAGCCCCAATTTCCAACACTTCAGCTGTGATTAAGTTCCTCAAGATGGTAGTCACCCATGTCAAGAAGTTTGTTTCTAATTTGCAGTAATCAGTCAAGTTTTGAATCTCTGTCTTATGTTACTTTTCTGCTCCTTTAGCTCTTCACTGTTCAGTTTCCATTCCATGACAAGATTGAGGCCAAAGATCACCTTGGGAGCTGTATGTATGAGTCACTGTGAAACAAGAGAGCTAATCTGTAACTAACTAAGTGGGAATAAAGGTATTTCATAAAATTCTGTGTATCATAAATAATTGGAATAAAAATGCCAATCATAAAAGTGTTTTAATATTAAAAGCCTGGTAGTAAAATCACAATAATGTATACGATATGAACTAACTATTGTAGATTAGACATTTCACAAATACTAAAGAATTGTAATGTTGTATGCAATTCACATAGATTACTTTTGAGATTTATGATGTGTTGAGATGCACCTTGTTTACAGGTTTATTGCAGTTGAAATAGTTTCTGTTCTAGTCTCATTCTGTGCAAAGTGAAATTTGGCTAGAATTTCTGTGCTTTAGTTATGAACAGCTAGAATGCTTGACAACTCAATACCACATGGACCTCAGCTGTAGAAAACAGAATATGTCTTCAATTGATCTGTTAAACTGGAAAAAGTGAACAGTGAAGTGATAACATTTTGATATCCTAACCTATTGTACCACACAATGCTTTGATATATTTTTACCATCTTATTCTGCACGTAGTTAAATTTCTGACTTGGCTATGCCATTGGGATAGGTGCTGGTTAAAGGTCATGGAAATAAAAGTAAAAAAGAATGAAAATCCCCTAACAGTTGGTTATAGTTTTAACATGTTACCAAAACTGCATCCGCCCTTGTGATTAAGAACAGTATCAAGTTAGCAGAATGGAAAAAGTGTCTCTTAATGCAGACACAAATTAGTGTAAGAATCAATTTAAAGTTTTTGAGAAGATTTGTAGCTCGGGTTGTGGATGAGGTTGTAGACTTGCTCGCCGAGCCAGTGGGTTTGGTTGCAAGTGTTTCGTCACCCTGCTAGGTAACACCATCAGTGCGCCTCCAATGAAGGGTCGGTGTTCTGTCCTGCTTATTATTTATATACCTCGGTTTGCTGAGGTGGTTGGTATTAATTCCGCTTCTGTTTCTCTGTGGTTTGTATGCAGGGTCTAATTCAATATGTTTATTGATGGAGTTTCGGTTGGAATACCAGGCCTCCAGGAATTCCCTGGCATGTCTTTCTTTGACTTGTGCAATCGTTGATGTGTTGTCCTAGTCAAATTTGTGTCCCTTGTTGTCCGTGTGTAGTGAGACAAGTGAGAATTGGTCGTGTCTCTTGGTGGCTAGTTTGTGTCTATGTATCCGTATTGTCAGTTTTCTTCCAGTTTGGCCTTTGTAGTGTTTCTCAGTCCTTGCGGGGTATTTTTTATATACACCGGTTTGCAGGTTTTGGGTATGGGATCCTTTACATTTGTCAGTATTTGTCATAGGGTGGTAGTTGGTTTGTGGGCTACTCTGATACTTATGGGTCTGAATAGTCTTGTGGCCATCTCTGAAATGTCCTTGATGTAGGGTAGGGTGATTAGTGAGTCTGGTAGTGTTGTGTCTTCCTGTTGTGGCCTGTCTCTGAGGTAACGGCGGATTGTGTTTTTTGGGTATCCATTACTTTTGAAGACTCCGTATAGGTGCTCCTGTTCTGCTTTGTGTAGTTCCGGGTTGCTGCAATGTGTTGAGGCTCGTTTAAATGCATAGGCCAAACCAGAAGAAAACTGACAATATGGATACACGAACACCAACTAGCCACCAAGAGACATGACCAATTCTCACTTGTCTCACTACACACGGACAAAGAGGGACATGAATTCGTCTGGGACAACACATCCATAATCGCACAAGCCAAATAGAGACACACCAGGGAATTCCAGGAGGCCTGGTATTCTAATCGGAACTCTATCAACAAATCGCATTGAGTTAGACCATGTGTACAAACCACTGAGAAACAGAACTGGAAATAATACCAACAGCAAATATCCCAGCAAACCGAGGCATATAAATAACAAGCGGGACAGAAAACCGACGTTTCACCAGAGGCGCACTGATGATGTTACCTAGCAGGGTGACAAAACATTTACAATCAAACACATTGGCTTGGCGAGCAAGTCTACAACCTCTTCCACAACCCGAGCTACAAATCTTCTCGAAAACTTTAAACACCAATGGCACAACACCCTCAAACTGGTCTGCAGATAGGAAACAAATGCCATCCGGCTAAGTGTGCCCCGGAACAACTATAATTCCTGCACAAATGTCTCAGAAAACAGGTATTACCATTATGCTTAAAGTATAAACCACCTTTCAACAATCCACAGGCATGGAGGACACCTGAACAGAATGGCCGCAGAATGTTAAGGGTTATGATCAATGATGCCCACAACCACCTCCACAAATACAAGTGGGAAATTGCATGCCAAAAATCTCTGCACTCCAAAGCAAATGACCAGGAATGGACATCCACACTGGAACAAGCCATCAGCATACAACAACAAAAGATCAGAACAAAGAAAAGAATAGCCCTTCAAGAAAAACCGTTCAAATGTACCCACATCAATGACACAGACAACACAAATTTATGGATTAAAAACATCTCAGACTGACCATTACAGACACTGAGAAGACAGTCCTAATATGTGGACTGAGTTATAACTACAGAGATGCCAAAAAAACTGACTTCCTGGCTGCGCTAGAATCAACACTAAAGAGCAACAGACTGAAAGACAAAGTACATAGATAGTCTAAGTGAGTGGGCAAAGGTCTGGCAGATGGAGTACAATGTTGATAAACGTGAGGTCATCCATTTTGGTAGGAATAACAGGAAAATGGACTATGTTTTAGATGGTAAAAAATTGCAGCACGCTGCTGTGCAGAGGGACTTGGGTGTCCTTGTGCATGAATCGCTAAAAGTAGGACTGCAGGTGCAACAGGTAATTAAAAAAGCAAATGGAATTTTGTCTGCCATTGCTCGAAGGATGGAGTTTAAAAACAGGGAGGCTATGCTGCAGCTGTATAGGGTCCTGGTGAGGCCACACCTGGAGTACTGTGTGCAGTTTTGGTCTCCTTACTTGAGAAGAGATATACTAGCACTGGAGGGGGTGCAGAGGAGATTCATTCGGTTGATTCCAGAGTTGAGAGGGTTGGATTATGTTTTTGCGTTCTACCATAATGTCCAGGAAGGGTAGTCGGTTGTTGTTCTCTTCTTCTTTCATGAATTTTATCCCTGTAAGGATGTTGTTTATGTGTTGGTGGGTTTCTTCTAGTTTTGTGTGATAAATAATCACGAAGGTGTCATCTACATATCGGACCCAAAGTTTGGGTTGTATAGAGCGGAGCACTGTCTGTTCTAACCTTTGCATTACTGCTTCTACTGGGATTATACTCATTGGAATTCAGAAGAATGATGGGAGATCTTATAGAAACATATAAGATTATGATTATGAAGGGAATAGATAAGGTGGAGGCAGTGAGGTTGTTTCCGAAAGCAGGTGAAACTAGGACTAAAGGGCATCACCTCAAAATAAAGGGAAACAGATGTAGGACTGAGGTCAGGAGGAACTTCTTCACCCAAAGGGTTGTGAATCTGTGGAATTCCCTGCCCAGTGAAGCAGTTGAAGCTACCTCGCTGAATGTTTTTAAGACAAGGCTAGATAAATTTTTGAACAGTAAAGGAATTAAGGGCTATGGTGAGTGGGCGGGTAAGTGGAGCTGAGTCTCAAGAACATCAGCCATGATCTTATTAAATGGAGGGGCAGGCTCGAGGGGCCAGATGGCCTACTCCCGCTCCTAGTCCTTATGTTCTTATGTTCTTATGTACAACAGACCATCAGACAGACGATAGTCCCAACACTGGGTAAAAAAGGAAAGTGGAACACATTCAACACAGAAGTGAGGAAAGCCCTGGAAAGAAATACAGGAACATGCGGACAAAGAATGCATGAAAGTAATCCTCAATAGTGCCCAATACATCAAGAAAGCTAACGCACTACTAGCAGATACTGACATCTACCAATAGATGGTGATGGACCCGACACCACAGTTAAGGAACCGGATTACCTTGAAGAAATTACATACCTCAGGAGACATCAGCAAGACAGATGACCAAAAAATGAAGCCATAGGGATCCAATACACCCCAATTCTATGGACTCCACAAGGTGCACAAACAGGGGGTTCCTCTCAGACCCATTGTCTCTCTACCAGACACACCAACATATAGACTTGCCAAAGAACTACAGCAGAAATTGAAATACTTAGTGGACAACACTGTCCTTCAGCTGTCATCCACTCATCCCAAGAATTCCTCAACATCATCAAGGACACCAGGATAGATGAGGACGAGATGATGATATTCTTCAACGTAACAGCACTATTTACATCCATAAACATTGACATAGCCAAAGAGACAATTGCCACACCACTGGACCAATCAAGTAGGCAGGCAACCCAGGACACCAACAACATCAATAAGGGCACCACAATGAAACTACTCACAACCCACTTCACCTTCAACGACAGCACGTGCAAACAAATCAACGGAACACCAATGGGATCCCTGATATCAGGGATTGTACCGATTGTAGAAGCAGTAATGCAAAGGTTAGAACAAACAGTGCTCCACTCTATACAACCCAAATTTTGGGTCCAATATGTAGATGACACCTTCGTGATTATTTATCACACAAAACTAGAAGAAACCCACCAACACATAAACAACATCCTTACAGGGATAAAATTCATGAAAGAAGAAGAGAACAACAACCGACTACCCTTCCTGGACATGATGGTAGAACACAAAAACAACGGGGAACTCCAGACTAGCGTATTATATAGAAAGACCACACATATGGAACAGATATTCAATTACACTAGCAACCAAACCCAACACCCACAAACAGAGCTGCATCAGGACACTATTTAAACAAACCACAACACTTTGCAGCAACCGGAACTATGCAAAGCAGAACAGGAGCACCTAGATGGAGTCTTCAAAAGGAATGGATACCCAAAAAACACAATCCACCGTTACCTCCGAGACAGACCACAACAGGAAGACACAACACGACAGACTCACTAATCACCCTACCGTACATCAAAGAAGTTTCAGAGATGGCCACAAGACTACTCAGATTCCTAGTATCAGAGTAGCTCACAAACCAACAACCACTCTACCACAGTTACTGACAAATGTAAAGGATCCCACACCCAAAACCAGCAAAACTGGGTAATATACAAAATACCATGCAAAGACTGTGAGAAACGCTACATAGGCCAAAGCTGACAAGACAGATACACGAACACCAACAAGCCACAAAGAGACATGACCAATTCTCACTTGTCTCACTACACACGGACAACAAGGGGCACAAGTTCGACTGGGACAACACATCGATAATCACACAAGCCAAACAGAGAATTCGTGGAGGCCTGGTATTCCAACTGGAACTCCATCGACAAACACATTGAATTAGACTCTGTGTACAAACCACTGAGAAACAGAACCGGAAATAATACCAACAGCAAATACCCCAGCAAACTGAGGCATATGGAACAGAATAGAAGAATCCCTACAGTGTGGAAACAGGTCGTTCAGCCCAACAAGCCCACACTGACCCTCAGAGCATCCCACCCAGACCCATCCCCCTAATCTACAAACCCCTGAACACTACAGGCAATTTAGCACAGCCAATCCACCTAACCTGCACATCCTTGGACTGTGGGAGGAAACTGGAGCACCTGGAGGAAACCCTCACAGACACAGGGAGAATGTGCAAACTCCACACAGACAGTCACCCAAGGGTGGAATTGAACCCGGGTCCCTGGTGCTATGAGGCAGCAGTGCTAACCACTGAGCCACCGTGCCACCCCTACATAAATAACAAGTGGGACAGAACACTGACGCTTCACAGGAGGAACACTGACAATGTTACCTAGCAGGGTGACAAAACATTTACAATCAAACCCACTGGTTCGGTGAGCATGTCTACAGTCTCAAAGTCATCAGTTTCACATATGCTTCAAGTCACTGAAGGAAGTGACTAATAGTCACTAAAGATGTGATATACTGACAGGAATAGTAATGTACGGTACTTAATACTGTTTAACTTTAGGTTTGGATAACAATGCGGATTATCGGATTCAGAATATCATTCGCCATTAATAAAGCTTGTTCCAAGGAATATAGAGTCATCTCTTCAGACCATTATGTAACTCTACAACATCGAAGTCAATAGCAGCCCTGCGGCAACTGAGATGCATCTATAACAACTCTGACATCATAGTCCAATAGTCAATAAAAATAAATATGGAAATAAAAAAATCAAGCATTATCCCTCTCAAGGCATTGCTTTGTGTGGTACTAAGTAATTTAGACCAAAAAGAAGTTAAGTTTGATCTCCATTCTTAGTAGAGCTTTCTGGAACTTGCAAAATTATTTTTTATTTGATAAAGGGTTTCAATAATAATTGAAAATCATGATCAACAAAAAAAAATCATCTTTTTTGTACGGCTCACTCCCATTCTGTTTCTTTGGCTCTCAAATGCAAATTCAGATTTTGGCCCAGGAGGCTGTCAAAAAAAAAACAGTTACCCAGCTCAAGTAAAAATTGAAGGCAAAATGTAACATGTCTTGCAGCTACGTGGCAAGGAGCTCGGATTTCTCTGAAAGCTGACCACATGAAAATGAACACAAGGTATATTTTCCTGAAATTTCTGCAGGCACACTTTGCCACGGAAATTGTGGTGGGTCACAAATGATATTCTGCTATCTTGCAGGATTTGACCTAATGCCAAAACCCAGGGAGGAGGCCATTTGTACAGATGAGCTGACCGTACAACACATTTGGAGTTCCCTTGAGGGTGGGAGAGGAAGGCAAACCTTTTGAGTGACAATTCGACATTCCTTTGTGAGGCAGGATGTTTTTGCTGTGGATGTCAACAAAATCTTTCTTTAAACAAAGATTTAAATCTCAAACTGTAGAACTTAATTTTGCTAGCACTTGATGGGCAATTTAATCCAGGCATAACCTTAAATCATATTTTTTTTAAAATAAACCTTCAAAATTTTTTTTGTTCACTTGTGGGACATGGGTGTCACTGGCCTGTCCCTCGTAGCTGTTGGGAAGGTGGTGGTGAGCTGCCTTCTTGAACAGCTGCAGTTTACATGCATAGTTTGACCCACAATGCCCTTAGGGAGGGAATGCCAGGATTTTGACCCAGCAACAGTGGAAGAACAGTGATATATTTCCAAGTCAGAATGGTGAGTGACTTGGTACGTGGCAGTGTTCCCACGTATCTGCTGCTCTTGCCCTTTGAGATGGAAGTGCTCATGTGTTTGGAAGGTGCTGCCTGGCACGCTAACCTTGAATTTGTCAGGATTTGACACATTTACAGGTTTTTTTTTGTTATTGCAGGGTTTTTCACTGAGAAAATATTTGAAGCTGTGCAGTCAATGCATAAATTTTAGGCTTTTTTGTTTCTCATATCATAATTCTGCCTACAGCTTTTTGATTGCAAAAAGCATGAGTGAAGGAGTTGTCTGACTTCTATCTGCTGATCATGTAGGCATATTTTGTAAAAAAGGGGACCAATGAACATAGAACTAGCAAGTTTGATCCTGTCAGTCCTCTCAGAGGCATCTGAGAGTAAGGATAGAAACAAAACATGCCTTTATAAACAACTGGGGTAGGATGTTATCGCTGTGGGTCTCAAACCAGATCTTTCTTTTAAAGAAAACTGAAACACTTGCAGAATGTATACTACTGTATGTCTGTATTTCAATGTAATAGATTACTTCTGGCTTCTTGCAAATCCATTTTATAAAACTCTTTATTCTTACATTTGTGATTCTGCTCCAAAGCGGCATATCCTAAATTATTCAGTTGGTCAGCCTGCCAGACAGTTTTTGCACGCAGCTTCTTGTAAAAAATTATAATTTATAGAACAAATACATCTGTTTTTATTGCAGTTTCCATTGCTCTGTGGTAGGTATAAAGGCCAAAGTACAGATATTACAAATATCTATCTTTTACTCACAGTTTACGTGTAATTCAAGCACAACATTAAACTTCTTAGTAAACTGCTATTGAATTCAACAGCATTAAAAACGTTTTTGGTTGTGTAATGCTTACACAAAGATACAAGTTACAGAATGACAGAATTATCAAAGCAGGGAAGGAGTTCATTCAGTCCATTCTGTCTGCACTAGATCTCCAAATAAGCATTTCACCTGGCATCATTCTCGTGCCTTCTCCCCATAACCCTGTACATTGTTTCTTTTGAAGTAACAGTCACATTTCCTCTTGAAAGCCTTGATTAAATCTGCACAATCAATGCACCAGATTTAGGCTTGTATTTCCATAAAATTTATCCACCTTTTCTTCTCAAGGATATCTTCAACTAATTTTTATTCTATAACTATAGTTCGGATAAAGATAAAGGAGATCCAGTTAATTTTCTTAAGACTTTTTCTCATTTGTTTGAGTTTTTTCTCACAAACGCACACATTGAGAAAATGATTTGGGCTTTGTGCAATAACATGAAACAGGTGATAGAGAATCGATTGTCCATTTTATATCTCAATGATTTTTACTTCCACGGAAGCTAATGTAATTAAATATCAGATAAAATGTAAAATAGATGGTCGAGTTGCTTTAATCATTTTCTACTATGACCATTGTGTTTATTGTGAATACATTGGCGATTATTGTGTAAATGATGAATAGTACATGAGAAGAAACTTTTGGCCAGTCTTTACTCCCTTTTGTCATTTGTTCTGCCTCAATGTAAGCTTAAAATATGTTAGCATTTTAAGACAGTTGAGCCATTGCAAGGAACTGTATGCATCAAATTCACAGTTTAACGTGATGTTCAAAAAGATTATTCATACAATATGAAAAAGATCTGAACTATAAAATTGTACTGTTTGATAATATCTATCTCACATATGGAGCAAAGGAATGTAGAAATTAATTATCTTATCACAAAGATCTAAGCTGCTAATCTCACAGGGTTCACGTATTCACTACCATCTTTCCCTCCCCACCTTTATCTGCTTTCCGGAGGGACAACTCTCTCCGTGACTCCCTTGTCCGCTCCACGCTCCCCTCCAGCTCCACCACACCCGGCACTTTTCCCTGCAACCGCAGGAAGTGCTACACCTGCCCCCATACCTCCTCCCTCACCCCCATCCCAGGCCCCAAGAAGACTTTCCACATCAAGCAGATGTCCACCTGCACATCTGCCAATGTGGTATACTGCATCCGCTGTACCCGGTGTGGCTTCCTCTACATCGGGGAAACCAAGCGGAGACTCGGGGACCGCTTTGCAGAACACTTACGCTTGGTTCGCAACAAACAACTGCACCTCCCAGTCGCGAACCATTTCAACTCCCCCTCCCATTCCTCAGATGACATGTCCATCCTGGGCCTCCTGCAGTGCCACAACGATGCCACCCG